ATAGTTTGGATTTTCTTGTGCCTGTAATATATGATGTCTTTTGGAGATGTTATCTAGAATGATGAAACACTAGATGTAACTATAACTCGGGGCTTGTTTTTTCTCTATGAGCATACCAATGTTTTTTTTTTGGGTGAATAATATATCACTTGTTTAATTATCTTGTATGAGAAGCAAGGAAAGTAATTGATGCCTTTTTTTCCTCTTTCATTGCTCTGAATAAAAAATCACATTCTTTGTACTTTTCCTTTCCCTCCTCTGCGCCTGCCAGATTCATCTTTCCATTATGGATATGGTTCTTCTATTTGTTTACTCTGCCTTCTGTATTTTTGCTGTCTTTATTTGGAAATAACAAATGCATTTTCTTTTTGCTTTGGTTGAGTTCCAACCTTTTTCCCCCCCTCTCACATTAGCCTTTGACATTTTAAGCTGTAACATTTGTTTAGAAATGGGGACTTCCATGAAAAGTTGACATTGTTAGTTTTATCTGTCAAATTCCATTATGATGTCACAATTTGTTTTTAGATGTTTTGTTTCCTCCATATATATAAGTATGACTATGCTTTTGGATGGGGATTGAAAATTTTTGTGAATTTAGTTATTTGTGTGTACATTTTCATGCTATGTTGTATATTCTTTGGAAATGCTGTAGTCTTCAATGGAAGTTGTTATCTGAGAGCGTGATGAATATGTTGAAAGGTGATGGTGACACTCGTTGATGGTGAGCTCAAATTCAAAATTATTTAGGACCTGTTTGGTTGGAGGGGAGGGTGGAGAAAAAAAGAAAATAGGTCCCTCCCTTTGTTTGGTTAGAAATTTTGGAGGTGAGGAGAGCAAAACCACCCCCCCCCCCCCCCAAAACAAATCTTCGCTCATTTTAACTTCACTCCCAATTGGGGCTTTTAGGAGGTTAGTTAAAATGTTAGACCATTTTACTATTTTACTATTTTTCATATTTCATTAATGCTCATAAAAAATAAAAAATATATATTATTATAAAAATAATTTTAAATAAAAATGTATTATTATAATAAAAAATATGATAATAAAAATTATTACCATGAAAAATTATATTATTATAAATTAATTAATTTTTACAAAAATATTATTTTATTAACTAAAATATGTTTTAAAGCAAGAAGAAAAAACATAGCAAAAAGATTTTAAAAATTTTATTTTTTTAAAAGCAAAGTAAATTTGTTAATTTGATTATTTAAAATGTTATCATGCTATTTAGAGTAAAAAAATACTGTACCAATTTTTTAATACACATGTTAATATAACAATATTGCATTTTTATTAAATTATGTAAGTTGAATTAAAATGTAAATTAATTTATGTAATATATAAATAAAAATAAAAACTAACATGTAAGGGTGAAATGGTAAATTGATCAGTATTATATTCTTTCATTAGGAGTTAGTCTTTGTGCTGTTATTTGCTTAGTCCTTAGAGCCCGTTTGGCAGAAAGAATTGATTGGAATGAAAAAGGAATGAAAATAAATAGAATGAAAATTTTTTAAGTAATAATATTTTTGGTAAGCATTAGAATGAAAAAAGAGTTGATGAAAAATTTTATATTTAGTTGGATGAAAATGAGTTAGAAAATTGTGTAATTTTATTGTATTACCCTTAATGAAAGAATATAATATTTTTAAGCAACAATGATTTTTAACCTTATATAATAATATTATTATTAAAAAATCAATAACTAAAAAAATAATAAAAATATATTATAATTTAAGTAAATATAAATGTTCAATATAAATATAAAAATAACAATAACTATTAAATTATTAAAAATAATGAAATAAAATATAAATAAAATATAATTCATAAGCAAAAAAAAGAAGGAAGTATAACCAAATAATCTATAAATCTAATGGACATAAATAAAGTCGAATAAAATGTGAATTTTTCGATGACACACATTTATTAATTTAAATTTAAATGAGTCAAATGATTTATCATTGAAAAAACCCTTTAAATTTAATTTTTAATACAACAAGACCCATTTAAAAAAATTTTGTATTTTGAAATTTATTTTCAAGATGGTGAGCAAAAGTCAAATTCGAATCTACTCAAAAGAATTTGAATCTGATGCAATAAATTTAATTTTTTTTTCATCAAATTCGAATATGTTCATTTCTTTCATAGCATAACGTTTAAATACAGATTTATTAATGTAAATTCAAATTTTTATCAACAAATTTCAATTTATACACGATACTTTTTTATTTTTCACGCAAAATTTGAATTTATTAAGTTCATGTTACGTTCTACTTTTTATGCTTTCAACACAATAGCTTTTGGTTATATATAAGTTTTTCAGTTTAAATTTAAATTAGACAAACGACCTATCATTGAAAAACTGTCCAAATATAGTTTTCAATTCAACAAGATCCATTTAAAAACATTTTTTAATTTTAAAGTTATGATTGCAAAGGTAAGTAAGGGCAAGAAATGTTTTTTCTTACCAGATTTTGAATCAGATTTGAAAAATCATATCTAGTTTATATAGAGGTATTTTTTTTATTGAGGCAAATGTTGTTAAAAAAACTTATTGAATGAAGGTTGATACTTGTTGGTCAATCCCTGTGCGTTAGTTGAGCGACCCAATAGTGACAAAATAGATAAACATATGGCAAAGATGAAGATTCAATGATATGTTAGGTATTCAAATTTCAAACAACTTCACATGATTTCATTGATCAGAGCATTTTATTCAAATTTGAAAGACAATTTAGTCTTTTGTATTTTTCCGCTTGTGATGGCAAATCGGTTCCCACCAAAAGTGGGAACTCTTTTTTCCTTATACAATGGAAAATCTACTGCCGCTGAAAAATGGGTTGCGGAAAAATGTTGCCACTAAATGCACGAGATTAATAGAAAATCAACATTTTTTTTCCATCGCTAGATTTTCACTCTCCCAAGCGGGCTCTTAATTTTCAGAAACAGGGGCAGTTGTTTGTAGTGGCAATAAAATCCGTCATTTGTTGGAAATAAAATAAAATAAAATAAAATCCATCATTTGTTGGGATATTTCTTGATTTCTTAAATTTTCGTTTTTGAGCCAGTATATAAGTCACATTGGTTCTGCATAAAACTTACACATGATTTTCTCTTTATTTTTAATAGATTATGTCCCCATAAAACAAGAATCACTCTGCCTCAAATGACATTTCATTCATTAAAGGGATAAGCTTGGTATTCGTCACCTCTTGCTCATAACTGGTAATTTATAACAAATATATTTTGATTTTCCTAAGTTGTATTATTTAATTATGTGCATTAAAATCATCTCTTAATAAAAAAAAATTCATTAATACGTGCACTAAATAAGAATGATTTCGATAAAAAAAATTTGGAATTAGAATAAAAATAGGATTTTGGTAGCAAAGCACGATTACCAATTTAGATTTTAGTTGATGATTCTTTGACTTTGTCTTTTGACCCTTAAATGAGGAAAACTTTCCCATAGTCATCTTCTAATACAAATTTGAAAATGAGAAAATACGTTTTCATTTAACTTAATTATTGTTGATACTGCACTAACTTCAAATAAGTCATTTTATAAATAGCGACTTCCTATAAATTAAACTATTAAAGTATTTAAACACACACTTCCACACCTAAATATAAGGTTCTTTTAACTTATTTGTAACATCTAAAAAAATTAAGATGATTATTTGTAATTAATATATAGAAAATTTATGACACTTTTTCAATAATATTCATTCCATTTAATGATTAGAATTTAATGTGCAGGCATAAAAATACTCCAACAAATAATTATGTAAAATTGATTTAGCAATGAGAAAATTCCAATATTCATAACAGAATAAAAGAAGATACATCTCAAAGCTATTCTTTCACCTTTTACTAAAGAATGCTGTGAGTCCAGTCAAAGAATTATCCTGCCAGCTTAAAGCTTAGAAGTTTGTCAACTTGGTTACAACAAATTTTATACAATCAATCAATCAATTATATTCTTGAAAACTTGTAATACCCGATTTGCTTAAAACGGGTCAGGTATGATATTATAAAATCCGAATATATTCAATTAATAATAAGATCTGAATAATATTTTGATGGGATTTGAGTATATTGAATTAAATGAGGAGCATAATTATTAAATGAGATTTTAATGGAAGCTCAAATGAAGAAATTAATAATTAATTTTGAATTTTGATAATATCTTAATTAGGATTTGAATATATTGAATTAAATGAGAAACATCATAAAATAATATGTCAATTGGGGTTTAAATGGAGAGATAAATAAATAATTTTAAATTTTCATATGTTCCCATAAATTCCACATTTTTAATTCAAATACAATTTGAATGAATAAAAAAACGCACTTCTATAAAAAGTAAATCTTGAGCTATCTTAAATAATGCAATTTATTAGAATTTAAAATTTAATCAAATATTTTAGTCCGTGCATCACGTGGGAGGAGAAATTTCTAGTTCATTTACATAAAAAGTATTTGCTACCTGGTTACCACAAATTTTATGCAATTCTCAATAGCTCTTCTTAAATGTTTAGCAATTATTCAATCATCTTTACATTTTCTTCTCTTTACTATTAACTAGTAAAGGAACACTGTTCTGGATGTAAGTGCTGGCCCTAGCTCAGTCAAACAACTCAATCTAGTTCCAAGCAAAATACATCCAAACTCAGTGAAATTAATACACAAGGACATTAAGAACTTATTAGGAAAATGAAGAATTGGACCTTGTGTTGACCCGATTAATAGATACTACTTTAGTCTTTAATATAAAATCCAATTTACTAATTTAAAAATATTAAGAAAGTTACTAAATTACTTTAAAGTATTTTTATATATATTGCTCTTTTCCAAATTAATTTGCCTTGCTTATAAATTGATATATAATCTAATGATACATATAAGTATTTTAAAGAGATCATATAACATCTGTTATAATTAATTTACTAATTTTCTTAGTCTTCTCAGACTAGTCAATTGGGTCTTATATTAAGAACTGGAAATAGTATATTTTTAAGATAGAAAATAAGTGACCCTAAAATATGAACATTACATATAAATGCAACTTATCATCTAGACAGTGAAACTCGCCCTTCGTCTCCATGTGACTGGGACTCTGGAAGTTTGGGATATGTGATTGAATCACTGCAACCAAATTTCTAGTCCAGGTTTGGGCTTCCATGTACCGTAGTCAGATTAAAAAAAAAAAAAGAAACTTGAGATCTATCACTATTATTTTCACTAACATATGCTTAAAATATAATTACAGAATGAGGTCTTCAGTTTCATGGTAAAAGTACTCCACCTAGGCAGACAGAGAAGCCATGGAGTTTAGTCTACCTATAATAGAGTCTATCACAGCATGCGACCCACTGGTAGCAGCAAATTTAAGATGTTTGGTAACTTCAGCTCTATCAAAATAAAGGGCACCAGATACCAGTTTATCTTTTGGCTGCAGAGCCAACCAAATCAGAGTGTCGGCACCTTCTTCACTTGTTCGAAGCTTCCCCTGAAGCCTATGAATCACAGAATGACAGAAATCAATATAAGTACTACTTAAAATCTGCCAAGTTTTGTTGATGATATCATTGGTTTCATGGATGGGATTTTTTCTTTTTCTTTTTTTAATCGGTTTCAAAGTCTGTGCTATCATTTTTTTTCCCCCCCCGAAAGAGTTGTCACATTACATGTGGAGACAACTTTTAAAAGGATTCAACAAAGTGGTGCTGAGTTGCTACAAAAGTTCAATTATAGTTTAAATTACATTATAACTGCCGTGAACTAAAGCCTAATTTTAAAATTGATATACAAACTTTAAAGTGTAATGGAACACTTTGAAATGTTCAGTTCCAGTTGATAATTACACTAGCAAGCCTCATCATTTTGAATGTGATGGCAATGCATGGCTTAGCCCAATGCTGAGCTTCCAAAAATTTCCAATAAAACTTGATGCATCAGTTTTTCAATAACGTCTCAATTCAAGGGGTGAAATGTCAGGTTACTTAATTTTTATTCAATAACCAAACAGCAAAACCTCATAATGATGTGAACACTTACTTCTCATTGAAGCTTGGCAAACTCCTGGCAACTCCAGGAGTCTCAACCCAACCGGGATGCATCGAGTAAAATCCTATCCCCTTGTTTGTGTATCTCTCAGCCCACTTTTCTGTTAGGGCAACCTGGAATATGTAAACTTAGTGAATATACATTTCAAGCCCAACAGGATTTTGTGTAAACATGTGTACCACAGATAATAATAAAACTATTCTTGAGCCTTCTCCTAAGAATTCAAGTTTTTCAAATGAAAGGTTACTTAATAAAGTGATGGAATTTCAGCGAGCAGTAATATGAGAAAATTTGGAAAAACCATTTCCTTTTGTATATCCAGTTTCATGAGCACTCAGAAATAATACCACCATAATTCTTTGTCTTTAGTGTGGATCATCATTAGGTCCATTGGACTTAATAAGTTGTGCTACTAATGTTATGATATCAAAAACAAAATTAAAAAAAAAAAAAAACTATACATATGTGCTCATAATCCCAGGTTGAACACAGGTATCTCTTGCAAGAAAGTGTGTAACCAGCAAATGCACGTGACATTAAGGTTTCTGCAAAAATTTAGAGTTGCAAGCATAGAGACACGATCCAAGAAATGGATTTCACTGTAGAGCTAAATTAAATTGTGAGGAATTGAGCATTTTTTTTCCAGAAACTAAAGAAAGGGTGGTCTACCACTTCCAAAAGCCTCCATTGCCTGCATGCTACTACGACATTGGATTGTTCCTCTTATGAGGGAATAAGGCATTTAAGATGTTACAGCATGATGTAAAATAAGTTGAAGGGAACGTGCAGAATGAAATGAATTAAAGGATCTCAGCTTGGTGTGATCCCACAGAATGTAGACAAAAGGCACAGCTTAAACCTCCAAAGCATTTAAACATGCCAGACTGGAGGAAACAGTCACAGATATGGTATTATTGAATCATAAACTCTATGGAAGAAGAAAACTCGGTTCTCATGCATTGAGGCATAGGCTCTCCCAAGACTGTTTCTACAATTTCCTTGCCTTCCCAACCAGCATGGAATCCCCAAATAAACACCCCCGCTTCTAATAGACATATAATTGATACCCCAATTTCCCTAGCTAATTAACTGGATCCTCACCCATATATTTGGGCATTCTCCAATAATATGTGAACTCAGCCCGTTCTCATCATGGACCTCCTATTAGTATGACATGTTTACTAATATTTTGGTAGAAATAAAAGAAAGGGTCGAAAAGAGAGAAAGGAACGAGGGGAAAATCTTCTAGAACCAAAACATGTATTCTAGAAGTAAGGGAATCTCCAAATTAGAATAAAAAATACTTCATTGATGATTAGTCACAAGCACATAACATATACTTAATGCCAACAACAACAATTATGATAACTACTAGAAACATAGGACAAAAACTGAAAGTAACTAGCAGAAACTAACATAGGAAAGATGTCAACCTAAGCAATAACTACCATCACACTATGGCCACATGTCCCAAAACTGACTCTCCTAATGATGGGCTACCATCTCTTCCTCGAATAAACTGGTAAAGGACGTTGGTTCCTATCATATTTCTGTCAAATAAAATTAATATCGCGGGAAGTGACTGGAAAACTATGGAAATAAGGTGAAGTCTTTCTTCACTGCATGTCCCATTTTACTTCATTTCCAATAAGGTGAAGTCTTTCTGTTAGAATCGAATTCCTCAGATTTCCTAGGTTTAGCCGTTAGAAGCAAATCACTTATTATTTGGAGTTTCCTTGCTCGGGTCCTAGAATCACTCCACCTGATTATATGTAATCACTCATATTAATTCCTATTCAATGTAATCGGATTTCCTAATATACTGCAAGGGAATCCAAGCCTATTTATGTACTAATCTGCATTGGAATAATCAAGAAAATATTCAGACAATTATCTCCGGTATGGTATCAGAGCATCGGAGATAACAAGACCTGAATATGAACAGCAATGATTTTCCTCCACTGTTTGGGACATTGCGATGGAACCAGGCGACCAGTGGCTTCAATCCGATAGCCCTAATGACTGGTTCTAGTGAGCCGAACACATCAGGCCTCCAGGTTTCATCACCCTCCGCTGCAACCCAACAATCTGGTAGCTCCACAATGGTACCAGAATTTACTGCTGCGACCCAACAATCTGGTAGCTCCACAATGGCACCAGAATTTACTGCTGCAACCGAAAATCAGCAAATGGTGATTGCCCACAAGCTGAACGGGAGTAATTATCTCCAGTGGTCACAAAGCGTCTTGATGTACCTACGAGGCCGATGCAAGGAAAAGTATGTAAACGGCCAAGCACCACAACCTCTCCCCGATGATGCGTCGTTTGACACGTGGTTTGCTGAAAACAACCAGGTCATGACCTGGTTGTGCAATTCAATGACCTTGGAGATCAGTGAAGGGCATCTACTCGCTTGGACAGCAAAAGAGATGTGGGATGCTGCCAAGCGAACTTATTCCTCTATCGACAATACTGCTGCGTTATATCAACTGAAGAAGCAACTAAGAGAACTTAAGCAAGGTACAATGTCTGTGACTCAATATTACAGTACCCTTATGCGAATCTGGCAATAATTAGACCTATTTGAAACTCACTCCTGGAAACGCATAGCTGATGCTCAATATTATAGACAAATTATTGAGAAAGAAAGAACGTATGATTTTCTGCTGGGTCTAACTGATGTTTTTGAAGATGTGAGGGACAGAATTATGGGCCTTAAGCCTCTACCCTCCTTATTTGAAACCTTTAACATGGTAAAATGTGAGGAAAGCAGGAAACAACTCACCCAGGTCCCAATCACCCAATCCGAACCCTTTGCTCTAGCAATCAAGGGAGCAAACCCAACAGAGCAGAAAAGAAAAGGTGATAGATGGTGTGATCACTGCAATAAGAAGGGACACACCAAGGAGATTTGCCGGAAATTACATGGAAAGCCCTCTAATCAGAACAACAAACAAAGAACAGAAAGGAAAGGGTATCACATTGAAAGGAAAGAAGAAGAAAATGACAAATTGAGTACTGAGGAACTGCAGCTATTAAGATGCATTCTGGAAAAACAAACCAGCCTACCCAACACTCATCTAGTACAATCAGGTAACTCTATAATAGCCCTCAATACCATAGTGAGTAGTGATGATGTATGGATTGTGGATTCAGGAGCATCAGACCACATGACTGGTAACAAATCCCTTTTTGAAACTCTTAAATACTGTCATGAAAATTTAAAAGTAAAAGTAGCAAATGTAATCAGTACCGGTGTGTGTGGACTTGGAACAGTGGAACTTTCTAAACATCTCATTATACATAATGTACTGTATGTCCCAAACCTTACTTGCAATCTGATTTCTGTGAGCAAACTAACCAAAAGTCAAGGCTGTCATGTTCTATTTAGTGACACTGGTTGTGTTTTTCAGAATCCAACATCGGGGAGGACGATTGGCAAGGCCAAGGAGTGGGATGGACTATACTACTTCAGTATGAATAATAAGGAAACAGAAAAAGTGATGGTCAGCTACTATTCTCAAAACAAGGATATATTATTATGGCAATATAGACTCGGTCACCCTAGCTTCAAATATATGAAATACTTGTTTCCACAACTTTTTAATAAAAATACTTTGGAGTTTCTTAAATGTGATACTTGCCAACTTGCTAAACAAACTAGAGCTTCCTTTCCTAAACAATATTATAAACCTACTGCTCTTTTTACTTTGATTCACAGTGATGTTTGGGGTCCAGCCAAAACAAAAACTCTTTCTCATGCACCGTGGTTCATCACTTTTATTGATGACCACACTCGAATGACATGGGTTTGTCAAAGGAGAAATCTGAAGTTTTTGAAACCTTTAAAACATTCTTTACTTATGTGAAAAATCAATTTCAAACAACCATCAAAGTTTTGCAAAGTGACAACGCAAAAGAATACATAAGTGGAACTTTCAAAGATTTTCTTCAGGAACAGGGAATACATCATCAAACCTCTTGTGTCTACACCACACAACAAAATGGGGTGGCGGAGGGGAAAAATAGACATTTGTTGGAAGTAACTCGAGCTATTATGTTACAAAAAAAGGTCCCAAATCTATTTTGGGGGGATGCCGTACTAACTTGTACCTATCTTATAAGCAGAGTTCCTTCCAAAATACTAAATTTCAAGTCACCAGTTCAGACATTACTGGAATATTACCCAAACTGTCCTTTAATTACCAATCTGCCTCCAAAAGTATTCACATGTGTAGTCTTTGTACAAAAAAATGGAGGGAAACTCGAGCCTAGAGCAGAAAAATGCATTTTTATTGGTTACTCCCCAACACAAAAAGGATATAAGTGCTATTCACCTCAAACTAAAACTGTACATATCACCAAAAACACTGTCTTCTATGAAGATGAGGCTTATTCCCTAAATTACCCATTCAGGGGGAGAATTATGGAGCAGAGGAATGGCTAATTCAGGAAACAAACAATTCCCACAGACCTGAAACTACAACAACCACACCACAAACTGAACCTATAACCCAAAACAGACCTGAAATTAGACCTGAAATTGCACCTGAAATTGCACCCACTATACCTGAAACTTCTCACCATAGACCTGAAAACTTAAACGGGCTTGGGAACTCTCTTGACAGACCTAAAACCCCACAACACAGCACAAATTCTACACCAACCTCACCACTATCGAACCATGACATCAAACAAAGTAATTCAGAAAACATCACAGAACACCCAGAAACCAATAACCCAAATTCTGAAATCAATCATGCAGACAATGAAAAGAATGGCCCTCCCACTCCAAGGCTAGGCCAGGACTCTAACACTGAAACAGATTCTAAAGAACTAGGATGGCCCATAGCACTTAGAAAAAGGGTAAGATCTTGCACCCAGCACCCCATTCAAAGGTTTGTCTCTTATGGTAACTTATCCACTAGAATGCAAAGCTTTGTTACTAACAGTGCACAGGTGAGGATACCAGAGATTTTCCAACAAGCCATGGCCAATCCTAATTGGAAGAACGCAGTGGAAGAGGAACTAAAAGCTCTAAAGGAGAACAGAACGTGGTAGGTTGCAAGTGGGTGTTCACTCCAAAATTCAATTCGGATGGAAGTCTCAACAAATACAAGGCCAGACTTGTTGCAAAGGGGTACACCCAAACCTATGGGATCGACTATGGGGAGACTTTTGCTCATGTGGCCAAATTCAACACCATTAACGTCCTACTGTCTATAGCTGCCAACTTAGATTGGCCCCTACATCAACTAGATGTAAAGAATGCATTCCTAAATGTAGATTTGGAGGAGGAAGTCTACATGAAAATCCCAGAAGGTGTGAGCAAGACTGATAATATCACCAAGGTTTGCAAACTCAAAAAATCCTTGCATGGGCTACAATAGTCACCGACAGCATGGTTCGACAAATTTGCCAAAGCCCTAAAACGATTCGGTTACTGCCAAGGACAAGCTAACCACATACTGTTTGTAAAACACAACAATAAAAAAGTAGCTATATTCATTGTCTATGTCGATGATAGGACTCCTGGAAAATTCAAGCTGACTTATTCTAGGAGGCAAAAACATGGCAGCGAAAATTAAGGGATTCATGATTTAATGTTGCTGATTATTTGTGATTTTATTTGTGATTTTTAATTCACTATTCCTATTTTCTCGGTTAGTTAGTTAGTTGCTAGATAAGTGGGATACGCTCACTCAAATTTAGGAGCAGTACTTGAATTCGTTTCCTCATTCTTCTCTCTGTAACCATTATAAATTGGCATCATGCCTTTGGAATAAGATCATCGAATATTTCAGAGAGTATTATATTTTGTGGGAGATCCTCCTAGGTCTATTCACAAGTAAGTGTGAGATCCTTGCCTTACTTGTCAGTAGAAGAATTTTTCTGTTTCTTTTTCTGTTCTGTATCTTTATTATTTAAATCCTCTGATTCGGTCACTACCAATTTGGCATCAGAGCCATGGTTGAAACCAGATCCTCACGCAACCCGCAGCCACCGAAGAATCCGTTTGCCGGTGACCACGATCCCTTGAATACCATAGCTGAGCGTCTACAAACGCTAGAAGTTTTGGCAGACCGAGTAGCTAGCCTGGAAGCTGCGACTGATCGGAACCGAAGAAGAAGCTTCCAACAGTCGCACTGGGAAGCCGATAGTGAAGATGACCCTAAATCAGCCCTTCATCGCCGCATGCCGTACACAAAAATTGACTTTCCAAAATTTAGTGGTGGTGACCCTAGAGGGTGGATCTTGAAAGCTGAGAAATACTTCAGGTACTACGAAACACCCGAGGGGATGAAAGTAGATGTTGCCTCAATGTATCTGGAAGGAGACACTTTGGATCTATTTTCATGGATCAATACCGAGAGGACGCTTCTTTACTGGGATGAACTCGTGAAGATTTTACAGGAAAATTATGGACCATCGGAGTACCAAAACCCAGATGAATACCTTTGTGGTATACGACAGACAAGAATGGTGCAAGACTACCGTGCTGAGTTTGCTCGCCGGTCTGTGCACGTGAGAAACTGGCCGGAACATTGCTTGCTAGGCGTCTTCATTAATGGCCTCAAAGAGGAGCTTAAGTCGGACGTCCGAATCCATAAGCCACAAACCTTGTATAAAGCCACAAGCCTTGCTATGGAATATGAGAAGAAGATGAGATCTGCTATTGGGCCCAAGCCCAATCACTATTCCAGATTCAATCCACAATCCAAAGACCTTAAGCCCAACTCAGCAAACACGAGCAGAACCATGGGTGCGTCAATTTCAGGCACCAAACCAGTCCCCTCGGCAGCGGCTCTCGAGCAACATCGAAGAAGGGAGAAAGGCCTATGCTACCGGTGCGGCGAGCCCTTCCGTCCAAGTCACCATTGTGCTGGGTCCTTCTCTTTAATGGAAATTGCTGAAGAGGGAGAGACCGTGATGCCTCCCCTGATTGAAGAAGTCAACGCCGAGGCAGAAGTGGCAGACGCTGAGATTTCCTTCAACGCTATACTGGGCAAAGCTTCTGCTTCCACCATGCGTTTACAAGGAACCCTTCATGGCAGAGATGTTCTTATATTGGTTGATAGTGGATCCACGCACAATTTTGTGTCAGATTCGATAGTGAATGAATTGAATCTTCCCGTACAGCAGGTGCAACCATTCGGAGTTCAGATTGGCAATGGCAGCACAGTTAAATGTCATCGAGTTTGTTCAGCTCTAGAGGTGAAAATTTCAGATTTAATCATCCAACAAGACTTCTTCCCCTTCTCATTGGGTGGTACTGACTTGGTCTTGGGGATCAAATGGTTAGCTTCCTTGAACACAATTCAAGCTAACTGGAATGAAATGTTCATGATATTTTGGTTAAATGGGAGGAAATATAAGCTGTAAGGGGTGACTTCAAAGCCCAGAACGGAGGTACAGTTGCAAAGTTTACTATTGACACATGATTCTGTAGAGGCCGAAGTATTAAATGTTGAGTCAGTATGCCGCGAATTCTCAAAAGTTTTCGAGGAACCCTCTACCTTACCTCCTGCACGAGGTCAATACCACTCCATTCCCCTCAGGACAGATGCAAATCCACCTAATTTGAGGCCCTATCGGTACCCCCACTCCCAGAAGAATGAGATTGAAGCCCAAGTCAATGATTTACTGAAACGCAGATTTATTCGTCCCAGCTCCAGCCCCTTCGCCAGTCCTGTTCTTTTGGTGAGCAAAAAGGATGGTTCTTGGCGCGTTTGCATTGATTACCGCCGCCTAAATCAAATCACCATTCTAGATAAGTACCCAATTCCCAATATTGATGAGTTGCTAGATGAATTACATGGAGCTGTGTATTTTTCTAAAATAGATTTAAGGTCCGGTTATCACCAGATACTTGTTCTGCCTTCTGATATTCATAAAACTGCTTTTCGTACTCACTCAGGGCATTACGAATTTGTAGTTATGCCATTTGGTCTTACTAATGCCCCGGCGACTTTTCAGTCAATCATGAATGATTTATTCAGACCTTATCTAAGGAAGTTTGTGTTAGTCTTTTTCGATGATATCTTGGTGTACAGTTCCTCTGCGCAGCAGCACCTAGAACACCTTCAAGTTGTTCTGCAGGTTTTACAAAAGCATTCCTTCTATGCTAATGCCAAAAAATGCTTCCTGGGACAAACCAAGATTGACTACCTAGGCCATATCGTTACAAAAAATGGAGTAGAGGTAGTTCTAGAAAAAATTGCAGCAATTATATCTTGGCCGTCCCCTTCAAATGTTAAGGAGCTGCGGGGTTTTTTGGGACTCACAGGCTATTACCGGCGTTTCGTGAAAAATTATGGACTGATAGCACGACCGTTAACGGAATTGACCAAGAAGGATGCTTTCTCATGGTCAGGACGAGCTCAGTCTGCATTTGACGCTCTTAAGGAGGCTTTGACTACAGCACCGGTCTTAAGATTGCCTGACTTCAATCTACCTTTTATGATTGAATGTGATGCTTCCATGGATGGGATAGGGCAGTCCTTATTCAAGAAGGGCATCCGATAGCCTATTTCAACAAGGGTTTCTCCATCTCGAACAGATTTAAGTCAGCCTATGATAGGGAGTTGTTGGCATTGGTACTGGCCATTCAAAAATGGAAGCACTACCTTCTGGGATGCCATTTTACTATACAGACGGATCACTGCAGCCTCAAACACCTGTTAGAACAGAAGATTGTGACCAATACCCAACAGAGGTTGCTCATTAAATTACTACCATTCAATTTTTCCATTGTGTATAAATCTGGGAAGCATAATGCAGCTGCTGACTCTCTTTCTAGAAGACCCCAACCAACTGAATTCTTCCAATTAGTAGTCCCTATGGTGGATGATTTGGCACGTCTTCCTCAGGCCTTATTAGATGATCTGGACACCAAGGCCATAATAGACGACCTGCAGCAAGCACCTAATTCAACTTCTAATTATAATATGGTGAGTGGCAGATTATATTATAAATTAAGGTTGGTCATACCCAACCAAGCTGATCTACGTGACAAACTGGTAAAGGAAGCACATGCCACCCCTACCGGAGGCCATGGGGGCTATCTCAAAACATTAAAGAGGCTGAGTGCTCATCTACACTGGAGGGGCATGAAACAGGATGTCAAACATTTTATACAGAGGTGTTCTAGCTGCCAGCAGAACAAATACCAAACTCTGGCACCTGCAGGACTCCTCCAGCCTCTCCCTATCCCAGAACAGATTTGGGAAGACATATCACTTGATTTCATTACTGGTCTCCCCAAGTCTAAAGGCTTTGATGTGATATTCGTAGTGGTGGACAGATTAAGCAAATATGCTCACTTCATGGCCTTGTCACACCCTTATACTGCTAAAACAGTGGCTCAGTTGTTCTGCAAAGAAGTAGTCCGCCTCCACGGAATGCCCCGCTCCATTGTCTCTGATCGAGATTCTCTTTTCCTAAGCATGTTCTGGCAAGAGTTATTTCGTTTGAGCAAAACTCATTTAAATATGAGCACCGCATACCATCCCCAATCCGATGGTCAAACAGAGGTGGTAAACCGTTGTCTTGAAACTTACTTAAGGTGTTTTACTCATGAACAGCCAAAAAAATGGAGTGAATTTCTATGTTGGGCTGAGTACTCCTTCAACACAAGTTACCATGTTGCTGCGGACAACACCCTATTCAAGCTTGTATATGGAAGGGAACCACCCCCACTAGTTCCCTACGTCAAAGGTGAGACTGCAGTAGCGGACTTAGAAGAACAACTAGAACTTCGGGATGACATGCTGAAGGTTTTGCGTGAAAACCTACTGAAAGCACAGAATCACATGAAGATACAAGCTGATCGCCATCGCCACGACTTGCAATTTGCACCAGGGGATGCAGTATGGTTAAGACTTCAGCCTTATCGCCAAAAATCATTATCCAAGAGGCGGTTTGACAAGCTGTCACCCAGATTTTTCGGTCCCTACAAGGTCCTTCGTCGCATTGGGAATGTAGCCTATGAATTAGAGCTCCCACCTGAGGCAAAAATTCACCCCATATTCCATGTATCTCTTTTACGACCTGCTTTGGGGCAAGACTTGCCATCAGTTCCAGCACCGCTGCCTTTATCATCAGATATGGAATTACTGCTCACTCCTTCACAAGTGCTGCAGCATCGCTAGACAACACACAGGAGCCTGGAATTATTAGTACAATGGACAGATAAACCGGTCGAAGAAGCCACTTGGGAAGATTATGATTTGCTTGCTGCACAATTTCCTCAGTTTCGACTTGAGGACAAGTCGTTTTTCCGGGAGGGAAGTAATGATAGGACTCCTGGAAAATTCAAGCTGACTTATTCTAGGAGGCAGAAACATGGCAGCGAAAATTAAGGGATTCATGATTTAATGTTGCTGATTATTTGTGATTTTATTTGTGATTTTTAATTCACTATTCCTATTTTCTCGGTTAGTTAGTTAGTTGCTAGATAAGTGGGATACGCTCACTCAAATTTAGGAGCAGTACTTGAATTCGTTTCCTCATTCTTCTCTCTGTAACCATTATAAATTGGCATCATGCCTTTGGAATAAGATCATCGAATATTTCAGAGAGTATTACATTCTGTTTCTTTTTCTGTTCTGTATCTTTATTATTTAAATCCTCTGATTCGGTCACTACCAGTCGACAATATTGTTATCACAGGAAATGATGAAGAATCAATTAACTCACTCAAGAAGGCATTGTCAGCTAAGTTCCAGGTGAAAGATCTCGGACAGATTAGATATTTCCTAGGCATGGAGGTAGCCAGGACAAGAAAAGGGATCAATATGTCCCAAAGAAAATACACACTTGACCTCCTACATGAAACAGGGATGCTTGGAGCTAAACCAAGCAAAACAGCCATGGATACTGCATGCAACTTGGAAATCAAACCGAATGGCACTCTAGTGGACTCAGAAAGGTACAGAAGGCTCATGGTAAAGCTAATTTATCTAACTCATACACGCCTTGACATAAGTTACGCAGTGGGATTGGTTAGTCAATTCATGCACCAACCCCAAGAGGAACATATGGAGGCCGAGTATAGAATTCTAAGCTACTTAAAACTCAATCAAGGAAAAGGAATCTTTTTTGAGAAAAACAGACAAAGAGGCATAGAAATCTATACAGACACAGATCATGGTAGATCACTGGAACACAGGAGATCCACCACAGGATGCTGCACTTATGTGTGGGGTAACTTAGTGACATGGAGAACCAAAAAGCAATCTGTAGTGTCCAGAAGCAATGCTGAATCAGAACTAAGGGCTGTGGCATTAGGAGTATGTGAAGGAATATGGATTACAAGACTCCTTAAGGAGCTCAAAATCCCCTATGAAGGACCTCTTCACCTTTGGTGTGACAACAAAGCTAGTATCGAGATGACAAGAAATCCAGTTTACCATGACAGAAAAAAACATGTGGAAATAGACAAACACTTCATCAAGGAAAAGTTAGATGGGGCCATCATAGATCTGTCCTATATACGGTCCTCAAATCAAATTGCAGATATGATGACTAGACCATTGGCAAAGGTACAATTCAAAAGGCTTCGAAGCAAGCTGGGAATGCTAGACATCTATTCTCCAGCTTGAGAGGAGGTGCTAGAATTGAATCCCTCAGATTTCCTAGGTCTAGCTGTTAGAAGCAAATCACTTATTATTTGGAGTTTCCTTACTCGGGTGCTAGAATCACTGCACCTGATTATATGTAATCACTCATATTAATTCCTATTCAATGTGATCGGATTTCCTAATATACTACAAGGGAATCCAAGCCTATTTATGTACTAATCTGCATTGGAATAATCAAGAAAATATTCAGACAATTATCTCTAGTACTTTCTTCACTGCATGTCCCATTTTACTTCATTTCCTTCTGTCCCCAGCAATTCATTCGTGCTGTAGAGGTCTGCTAAAGATTGTCCCAAGTTTCAACAGAATGAACCGGTCCCATGTTTCTCAACTTCCATGTGTGAATTCTCCAAATCTTTCCTGACTCCAAACTGCCCTCAATCCACTGGGTACCAATCCAATTGGACACTGCCTTCTAACTATTATGTTTTGTAATATATTATGTCATCCATTAGGCATCTCATGAATCGGGCATGAGTAGCTGTATCAATGAGAAGAGACAGTTTCTCCTTCACTAAATGAAGACATCATCCTGCTCACGCCATTCCTAGAAATTACTAACATTGACCAGCCTATTATAAAGCGGCCCTTCCATAATTCTACATGAAGGAGGCCCATCCTTCAGGAACATTGTGAAACTCACCCCATGAGAAGAGACAGGCACCTAAAGCTTTGATATTAAAAAGTAATGATTAATTGGGTAAAATTTACAGAGCCTATAAGTAGCAACAGCCTAGTAATCAAAGTTCTTCCATTTTCCCCAAAATTCACTCAGCAATCAAAACTTAACAGACCAAAAGCAAACACTGAAGGAGAGTGCAAAATGTAAATAGAGCATAACACAGACAAGGGGGAAACAGAAAATGAGACTACATCGTTTTTTTTAAAACAAAAAAAAAGGTCTTCCCACTGAGATGCTGTATGACAAACGAAATTTTCTGGTTTAATTGTTATATAGCCCATCAAACAACGAGGTAAGGAATTTTTTTTTTATTTTACAATAATGCCTGTAATTTGTTTATATAGAATCAAACAAACAAGGCCTTCTCATTTTCTTAAATGAATGCCAAATAAGTGACCATCTAAAATTTGATTCTATTTCCCCCCACATTTTATCATTAGTGACTCAATTGTCAAATTAAAGCCTGATTTCTGTTCCTGCTACCTCTAAAGAGAAAACAATATTTAAGGCGACACTAAAATGATAATAAAAAAAGAATCACTATAAATTTGTACAGTTGATAGTTCAACTGACCTGGACACGCTTATTTCGAGCATACTGCTCAACCCCATTGAAGTTGCTCTCAGAGTACTGAATAGCAACAAGCCAATATATAATTAATACTGATATCATGTTAATGACTGAAGAAGATGGCATGTTCATAAAACAATTACCATCAGATCATTGGTCAAGGGAGCAGTATACATTCCACCAGAGGAAACTGTAATAACACGAGCATCAGGGGCAGCTTTTTCCAGTAATGGCAACATTGATTCTGTCAGGGTATAAGTTCCTAATACATTTACAGCAAAGTTCAACTCAAACCTGGATTACAGCAGAGTACATTAAAAGCTGACCTATTAATATAGGATGTTAATAGAATTTTCCAATAACTCAAATTTTTATATAAAACAATAGAGACACACCCTTCTGATGTGGTGACTCGATTATTCTCGAGCAAGCCGGCATTGTTTATCTTGACAAAGAACATTGTATACAAGTTAGATTTTCCGCATGAATTAAAATTTATATAAAAGCATAAGGGCAATTGAGAATTTACCAACACATGAACTGGCACATCCTTTTTAGAAAATCTGGATGCCAATGACTTGATCTCACTGACAGAAGAAAGATCACAAACCTGCAAGTCAAATTAGCAAGTTGTATAAAAGCATATAACTTGCAGAAAGAGTCTTCAAACTCCTGTGTGATTCATGATATTTAGAATAGCTGTTCTCTTTAATTACGTCAAAACACACAGCATATGCAGCAAGGTGATTGTGATACCTCCAAATGAACATTCGGGTTTCCTGTTGTGGATTGAATTTTAGAAAGAGCATCCTCTCCCCTCTCCTTATTTCGACATACAAGATACACAGTTGCACCACTGGTGGAATCATTAATCGGTATCAATATCAATATAAAACCTTTTAACCCATAAAAGAAATATCAACATACAATCTATAGCAAACAGCACTGTTCACAAATCACGAATTTAACTCATTCATCAAATTTCGTGCAATGTGTACCCAAAAAAACGTGAATAATTATGTCATATAAGTATGTACTGAAGACACGGAATTGAAGAGACAAAATGTCAGAGAAAGATCATCACCGTTGGGCAAGACCCTCCGCTGTCGCATAGCCAATTCCAGAGTTTGCTCCAGTAACAATGCAATTTTTACTGGGTATTTTTGCTTCCATATCCTCTGGTTTGAATCTCTTCGAATGCTCCCTACAAAGAACTTCACAAATTAACCAAGGCAAGAATGGGACAATTTAACATCGACGCAAACTCTCCAAAAGGAAAAACAAAACAAATTATAGAAGATAAGCAAGTACAAAGTTGTTTCTTGCAGCAAAATTTCGATTTATAAAAGATGCATCAAACAAACAAATCAAAACCCGTCGCTGAATCCCAAAAAATAGGAAGTGCAATGTATCTGATCTCATCAAACAAACCAAGTGGGAAAAGGAATTAACACAGGGACTCACAGAAATCCAGCTTTGGTGAAATTCAGGTACCCATAAACAGCGAAAGCCGTTGATCTCCATGCCTATCGAAACAAGTTATGAGAAGAAGAAGACGAAGAAGAAGAAAGCGAAAAGTAAGCAAATTGTAGGAACTGATGACCGATTTGGGGATAAAGGAATGCATTGGAATCTGAAGGGTTTACCTTGAGAAAGAACATTGCTAGTGCCGTGAGGGGGATGTCAGCGCTCAAGGTCACAGTGATCATGGGATGAGTGAGTTCCAACTACCAAGTGCAACTTCCGGATTGAGCCGCGTGTTTTGCGCGCCTCCGTAGCAGCAAATGCAATCACAAAAATATTAAAAAATAATAATTCAACTTAGGAGAATGATGCAAAATAGATTTTTAACAGCTAGAAATTTCTCCCCATGACATTTTCCAACTGGAATATTCAATTAGATTTAAAATTTTAATAGGCTGCATAATGATAGTGAGAAAATTCTATATAAATATTATTTGGATTCTAAATTTTTAAAGGAAAAATTACAAAAAAAGATTTTGAAATATAGAAAATTATGATTCAGGTTTTTCAATTAACATAATCGTCATAAGGAACCGAGTTTTAAATATGAATTATGAAATGTTGAGAAAAAGACCGAAATGCCTCCTACTGCTTCTTCTCTTTCTTCCTTCTAATCCTCTCTCTCTCTCTTTCCTTCCGCAACTCCAGAAAAAAAAATTTCCCTCTTTTTGTAAACTTTCTTCTTTAATTCTTGTTAACAATCAAACAAAAACATGTAATTTTATCATGTTTTAAATTTTTTTTCATGTTTCAAATTTTATCACGATTACCCGAACATCACTCTCTTTTCCAGCTCTTTTGCTGATTCCGCCGAGTTTGAATCAGTTAAGCATAACTCTTGCTTCTACCTTCCTCTACAATCGGGTGACTACCAATTTATTTTGGGTGGCGCCGTGTAGGTACCAGTGAAGGGTCAAGCCCATCACAAATCATGTTTCAAGTGTTCACATGGTGGTTGTCCCGTATCAGCATCAAATTATGCAGCTCTTAAGGGCATTTTGTTTCAAGTGTTCATGGTGGCTATCCATGTTTTGTTCACTTATGTAACAAAGTGGAAACTAATAAGGAGGAGGATGAAGAGTGTTGTTATAATAATTATGGCAAGAAGTTTTATTTTGCAGATGATGGTGAAGAGTATTATTGTGAAATATCTTTTTTTGTATTGGAAAAATAATATAGCTGTCATGGTTATATTGGTTTTTTTGTTACTGACCATAAGAATATTGTTATTTTCAATATGAATATTGTTATTAGTATACTAGTGATGAAGAATATTTAGTTTGTATTGCAAAAAGTTATTACTTCACTAACATTAACTTGTTATTTTCAAACATAAATTTATTATTTCCAATTATAAAATTGTTATTTTTTATACAAAACTTATCAATTCCTCACAATTTACCAAACTTGTTATTTTCAAGTATAAAATTGTTATTTCTAACAACTTATTAAACTTGTTATTTTCTATATAAAACTTATCAATTCATCATACTCAACTTGTTATTTCCAACTACTTAACAAACTTGTTATTTCTAATTATAAACTTGTTATTTTCTATATAAAACTTCTCAATTCGTCATTCTCAACTTGTTATTCCTAACAATTTACCAAGCTTGTTATTTTTATTTATAAACTTATTATTTTCTATACAAAACTTATCAATTTATCTTACTCAACTTGTTATTCATAGCTATTTAACAAATTTGTTATTTTCAATTATAAACTTGTTATTTTCTATACAAAACTTGTCAATTCATCATACTCAACTTTTTATTCTCAACAACTTACCAAACTTATTATTTCCGTTTATAAAACTGTTATTTCTTATACAAAACTTATTAATTTATCATTCTCAATTTGCTATTCCCAATTGTTTAATAAACTTATTATTTTCAATTATAAACTTATTATTTTTTACACAAAACTTGTTATTTCTAGTTATAAACTTGTAATCAATGACAAGTCTAATATGAAAAATAATAAGTGTTAAAAAGTTAATCATAATAATTTAAGCTTGATAAAATTCAAACAATCAAATTATATTTAAACCAAGTCAAAAATCAAGATGAAAAATGCATAACTCATGCTTTCCAGTTCACTACGTTATCTTTTTTGCATTGCCCTTGATTTCAATTGTTTATATATTTTTTTAAAAACAAAAAATAGAAGGAATATAAAAGTTTAGTGTGTCCACATTCCAAAAACCTCCCCACGAAATAAAGTTTATCATCAAACTCGCATATTACCAATTATTTATGAATAAAGAGAACATAAACTCAAAGAACAAATCATAATAGGGAATTATGAATTTGCAATAGGAAATAATTAACAAGTCCATAATGGGAAATTACAAGTCTATAATAAGAAATAACAAGTCTAAAATAGAAAATTATAACTCTAAAATAGGAAATTACAAGTCTGTAATAGAAAATTATAAGTCTGTGATAAGAAATAATAAATCCATACAACCATCTAACATCAAAGCTAGTTTTGGACATTTCTTGACAAGGATCAAGTCCAGGCAACCATCTGATAACTACATTCTTGGATAAAGTAATATATAATTATCATGAATGATAATTGAAGATGCTTCAAATAGGCAACCAGGCAAGAACTTTCAAGAGAGAAGATAAACGAGTTCCTAAAATTAATTTAAAAAACGCACACCTGTCTGGAGTTTAAGAGAAGAAAAGGACATTTTCCTTCGATTATGCTCAAAGCGAACTGTATAGCTAGTGGGCAACGGCGTTTATTTGTGGAAAAAATTAAGGCAATCTCAAAATTGAAATAGCACTAAATTATAATATTATTCGTATGCTTGAATCATAAATAGAGGCATCAATAGATTGGATGTAATATACCTTTGGGCATCACTACTAGGCGTACCCTCAAACAAAGTCGCCAGGCTTTTGAGACCAACATGAGACAAATGTACTCATCAACACCCAGGGAATTATATATCTAAGAAATCCATATTATATCTGAGAATTATATACATTAGCCGAAGAGATGCATGAGTTGGCAGATAGCCGCCTGCTCCAGAAGTACAATTTCTCAATTATCAGTGAACACCATAAGCCGTCCGAATGGGCGGTGTTGTTGGTCGGCTTAGCTTCACTCACCTATTTCTTAAAACTGCATTCTCTTTGTAGGAAAATGGACCAGTCCACCCTTGGTGGATTGGACCCGAGCCCAATATTATTTGGGACTCCAGTGTAAATAGCAAAACTCATGGGTCTTTAACTGTAATTTGTGCCCTTTCATAAATTTTTTCAAAGGCGAGAACAGTTGGGTAAGAGGAGACGATTTTTTATTTGAAAAAACAGGGAGTTACATAACTGATCAAAAAGGTATCAGTTTGTGTAGTTGTGGATTGCGTTTTTTCCTCCACCATTAGACTCTCCTCTCCGTCTCTCCAAACTCTCCCTCCAGTGCATTTGTTGTGTTTCCCAGATTCGACTCCGTCACCGTGATCGGACCTCTGTGTGGCAACCTGATTTTATTGCAGACTCCAGGTATGCCCGAAATCCTTCATTGGTATCAGAGCAATAATATTTACTGTTGATTTTGTGGCCTACGTTTTCATATTAGTATTTTTTTTTATTGTTCGGTCTGAGTAACTTGTGATTTGCTTCAATATATTATGCAAATCCTCCATTTTACTTTCAGTATGATAGTTTTTGTGTCTTATATTTATGTTTAGACATATTGGGTTGCTTCTCTGCCTCCGTGAAAATCGTTTTATACAGTATCCTTTTTCGGCCGTACGTTTTCGTTTTTGGGTGTCTCGAAAATGAAGTTTTCTAGATTCAAAAATTATCCCATTGTGTAGAGCTCGAAAAAACGAAGAAATGGTATAAAGTATGTGAAAAACGGACATCGGACGGTGAAGATACGGAGGAGAGAAGATTTCGGGTCCGACGGGTCCGTCGAACCCGACCCGGTTGCAGAAGCCGGGTCAAGGCGACCTAACTGGAGGTTGAAGAAGACCTCCAGGGGCCAAAACGGCGTCGTTTTGGCCCCCCGTTAAAAAAAAAAAAAAAAGAGGGAAAGGAACTGGGCTGGACGCAGGATCCAGCCCAGATGTAAAAAAAAAAAAAAGGGTTTAAAAGGTGACTGGGCCGGGAGAAGGGTCCAGCCCAATATATATATTAAAAAAAACAATTTAGTAAAAAAAATTAAAATTAAAAAAAAAATTGGTATAGAACCGCCACGTGGCGCGTGCCGCCATGTGGCATGCCATCTGGACACGTGGGCCCACCACCTGACAGGTGGTGGCGCGTGGAGGCCATCTGTACAGCGCGTGTCGCCGGCCACCGGCTTCATGGCGGCATGTGACGTGCACGAGCCGACAGCGAGAGTGGGCGAAGATTTTTTTAATTTTTCGCTAATTCTTCCTTCTAGGGGCGCATGTAGGTGCGTGTAAAGTCCGTTTAAGGTGCGGTTTGTCTCTAAAAATCCCTAAAATCGAGATCTTCATTTTGATGTATAATTTGCTAATTTTAGAGACAATTAAGGATCTATTTGTGAGTATTTTCAGTGTATTTTCTAGTATTTTCATGCTGAAATAAATTCCAGAATATTCAAAATAATTTAAATTATTTTGTTCTAGGTGAGAATGAAGCAAGAGGCTTTTAGTAGCACTGAAAATATCAAAGATGGTTCATTGGAATACTTTTACATGGATAATACAGTTCCAGAACATGAACCAAAGGATGAGGATCCTGAAAGGACCCTGAAGAGGTTCCTCAAGAAGTCCCAGAGGAGTTAATAGATTCTGGACCTGAGTCAGAATCTTTATTCCCCACTGAACCCCTCCGTACCGAACCTCATTTGGTTTGTAATGATTCACTAGATCTTCCCAATAAAACCGAAGTAGAGGAAGGCGAAGAGTGGATCAACCCTGTACCCCTGCTTTAGCTATGAGAATAGCGAAAGAGATGCAGCTAAATTAACAAACATAAAAGGCATCAATGGCGTGCTCGCTAGCTACGTCCATTACATGACCGATAAGAAGAATACCGAATTCTACCTTAGAGTCATAATGGAGTACATAAGAGCAATAAGGGTTAGAGGCGGACCTAAAGGCAACCCATAAGAAAGTCTTACTGGATTTGGGCCATAGAGCTAGTGTCCTCCTTTATGAACAAAACGCGCAAACTTAGAAGCCTAAGAAAAGCAATGCTTGATTACCTTTATGTTCATATCAAATGATGTA